GAGAGAGAGAAAGAGAGAGAGAAAGAGAAAAAGAAAGAAAAGAAAAGGCCACAGAATTAGGTGTTAGATTCGTATAAATATTTCAAGCGAACCAAATCAACAACAACAACAACAACAACAACTTTGGCTTCTCAGACGATGACGAACTTTAGCCTTAGACGCGCGAAACGCAACATTAAATATACTTTATGGATTTTTTGTAGACATACATATATGTATGTGTACATATATTTAGTATATATAAATACCCCTTATAGGTGTGCTGGCGAGCTACTAATTTATTTAGGCCCTCGCAGCCCTGCTGAATGTAATCAAAATGTCAAATCAGGCGCAGCGAATCGCATTAAAAATAGCAGCTCAAGTAGCCAAGGCCCAAAAGAAATGAAAAGAGAGGAGCGAAAAACCGTCGGCACCGCATCACAAGATGCCTCGAACGGGGCGAAGGCGCAGTTCATGGAGAAAGGCAAATGCCAAGCAGGCATTCACTTGGATAGGTGACAACACCTCCAGAGACCCATAAAGAGGTTTACGCATGCCTTTGTGCGGCCAAGTAGTGTACATGCGTGCATATGCATATATATGTATATGAACATATGTATGTGGATATATATACTATGTAAGCCATATCATGTATAGCTTATCATGAAAGTTTTCAACTGGTTTGCTGGATTTATATGCTTGAAAAGCAAAGAATCTTGGAAAGCTTTAGCAAAAGACAAGACAAGAGAGAGGGAAAGGGAGGAAGTGTTAAAGAGAGGGCGAGCGACAAAGAGAGAGAGAGAGAGAGAGAGAGAAATAGACAGATAAAGAGAATCACAAATACAAAGAGAGCGACGGGGATAGCGTGAGACCAGGGAGATATAAACAGGGAGTGAAGAAGAAAGATAGACAGTAGAGAAAGAGAGGGTATAGAGAGAAAGAGAGAAGGAAAGAAAGCGACAGAAAAGAGAAGGAAATTTACATAAGATCTTAATGATGCCAAAGACATAAAGGCAAAAAGAAAATCAGAGAGAGAAAGGGACAACAGAAATAGGGATAGACAGATAAAGAGCGAAACATAGACAGAGAGAAAAGCAAAGAAAGAGACAGTGAGAGCAAGAGGAAGAGAGAACGAGAGATATAGAAAAGGAAGAGAGAAGGAAAGCCAGAGATAGAAACAGATATAAACGAATAGTGAGAGAGAGAGAGAGATATGCTGCGAGAGAGAGACGGACTATGATATAGCTGTCCGAGTGAGCAACTCTTCTATTCGATTCTCATGCTCATTAAAATATTCGTATTGCCCATCTCAAGATTCGTGCTGCTGAGACCTCATCAGCTATTCAGCATTTTATAGCTCGGCAATTTCTTTTCATGCGCCGCTTTTCTCCACTGCTTAAAGCCACCTTGGCTAAGCCGCTGGCCGTCTCTCCAGCTGCCAGTGCAGCTGCCGCTGCAGCTCTGGCTCGGTGTGTGCGCCTAGCATTTTGGGTGCCTCATTAGCATTCGCAAATAGCTAAAAGCCAAAATCTAAAAAAGGAAAGAGAGAACATCACTTGCCAGCGCAGAGCAAAAGCCGTTTGCAGTCTGCAGTTTGCAGTTTGGCCGTCTTGCGGCTGGCTGGCTGGCAAACGGTATTACGCATACGCCGCATATAACCACAAAATGCTACTGGTAGAGCGCGCCGCTGCTGTCAACCACCATATCTTTCACTTTTCTGCTTTGCTTTCATTTCTATGTATTTTTTTCTATTATTATTTTTTTCTCCTTTTTTTTCTGTGCGCTGCCTGCATTTCCATTTGGATTTTTGCATAAGATTTGCTATCGAAAAAGAGCAGAAGAAAAGTGAGCGAGAGGGAGCAAGAGGGAGCAAGAGGGAGCAAGAGGGAGCAAGAGGGAGCGAGCGGCCGAGTGGAAGAGGGAGAGAAAAAAAAAAATAATGATTGCGATTGAGCGACGGCTGCTGGTTTGGATTTTCTTTCTTGTGGCTTTAACATTTTAGTCACGTTTTATAAGGGGGCAAGGAGGCGCTGACCGTTGGGGACGCGGAGGGCTGGGCCGCGCTGGGTGGAGATTTATACAATAGGCGTAACCAACATGGCGCAGCAGGCAACCGCTGCAGCACAAGTGCTTTTTGGCCCGAGTTGCAACAAAAGCTGAAGCTGAAGCTGAAGCTGAAGCTGAGGCAGATTTTTTTGCGCTGATGTCGAATGAATTTTTCACAGTCCGCAGCCAAAGCAAAAAGTTGCTGCTGCTGATGCTGCTGCTGCTGTTGTAGTTGCTATTGTATACTTATATATTGTTTTGGTCAGGCAGCTGCTGTTGCTGCTGCTGCTGTTGTTGCTGCTGCTGCTGCTATCGTCCATCCATGCTGTGTTTTGGGGCTGGCCTTTTGGGTGTTGCCCAGTCCGACCCAGCGAGCCATGAAGAACCTGCTGCTGCTGCTGCTGCTGCTGCATTATAAATGCAGCTAGGTCTGTGCGGTTCTGGGAGTCGACTCGGCTGCCTGGACACACAATTATTGGCCTTTGTTGAGCGCGGAAAATGTTGTGCAAAATGCTTTGTACGTGCTTCGTTCTCCTTGCCAGCGGTCAATGGCTGCACAGTGGCCAAAAGAGATCCATGAACCTGCGATTGCGATTGCCACGCCGGAGGGGAGCTGCTGTTTGGGTGTTTGTCTGTCTGTGTGTGTGTGTGTGCGAGCGAGACACCAAATCATTTTGTTGACAGTGAATTTTGGACGCTCTTTCCGTTGCCTAGAGCTCACTTCGTGCCTCTGCGTGCCACACCGCCGCCGCGTCTCGTCCTGCCTCTGTCGCATCTGCAGTAGCGGCAATTTTTCCACATCGTTACATAAATTTCAGCGCAAAATAAATGGCCAACGGTAGCCAAAAGTGCACTCAACAATATTTAAATTGCGACACTTAAGCGGCAACAGCAGCAGCAGCAGCAGCGGCAGCAACGGCGGCGTCTGCAAACAACAATTTGTCGCGTTTTAAAAACGCGCCAGAAGCAACGAAGGCAGCGACAAAGGCGACAACCGACAACCGACAAACAACAAACAACAACCGGCAGCAAACAGAAGCTTATAGCGAATTGTTAATGCTCTGCCACAATACAAAGAGCAAGAGTTCCCATAAAGATCATTTCGAGTAGAGTCTAAGACATCATCTGGCATCTGCATCTTCTATATAGTCGGCTCTATAAATTCTCCATTCATCAACAAACGCTGCTCGATTCCCAGAACATTTCTTATCGGAACGTAAACTCTTTGAGCTCGTTAAGAGAATTCTTTTAGTTCTTTTCTTTTCTTTTTGGAACAGCTGCTGCTGTTTTATGAACGATTCGCAAAGTTTGCCAGCCAGTGTAAACGCCCCGAAATATGCGAATGCGAAGACAACAAATGCGGCTGCTCGCTGGGGCGAGTTGATGAAGATGATGATGTAGCGAAGCAACCGTTTAACCTGGGCCAAAACGTCTTACGAACTGCAGCAACTGTTGTCGCTGTCGCTGTCGCTGCTGCTGCTGCTGCTGCTGCTGCGGTCGAACTCTCTGTCTGTCCGGCCGTCCGTCTGTCTATAAACGTCTATAACCTTCATTAAAAATTGTCTGCAGCGGCATAAAATGATTGATAACATCCGTCAATTTTGACATATGCGAGGTCTGCTACACAGCACCAGCCCAGCCCCCTCGCACAGCCCCCCCTCCACGCTGCGGCCAAGTTGGAGTGACTGTGGCTGTCGCTGTCTCGGCTGGCTTCGGGTCTGTGGCTCTGGCTCGCCCGCTCTTTGCTTGCTGAATGAGTCAATTCGTCAATCAATCAGTGTGTCAGTCGCTCATTTATAATGCAGAGAGCGCTGGCTGTCAGTTTGTCAGCTTGTTCATTCCATCATTTGTCCAAGCATTCACTCACACACTCACTCACTCACTTACTCATCTATTCATTCATTCATTTTGGCTACTGACACTCGGGGCGTATGAGCAACGCGAAACTTGTCTTTAATAGAATTATTAATGCGCTCGCTTCGAGTTGCTTCTCACCAGGCTTAGCCAGGATGCGAGGCCATGCCCCTCTGCCTGAGCCAGCCTTTGCACTTGACTTGACTCATTCCGTTTGCCTGGGCATATAAAGTGCAAAACTTTTTGAATGAAAATAAATTTCGCACACACACACACACGCACACAAACAGACAGTCGGACGGTCTGACCGGTCTGTTACCTGAATATGGAGCTGCTGCTCCTGCTGCTGATGATGATGACCACGCCTCCGCCTATACATACATATATTAGCTGTGGTCCCGGCTTAAATATGCCCCGTGGGTGCAGCAAGCTCTTTCCTTTGCATTTTTTTGGCCAACGCAAAGCGGAGCTGCCTTTTGCCCATTGACTGATTGACCGAAGCGGCCAAAAGGAGCGAGAGAGAGAGGGGAACCTCTTGGTGAACTATGGTCTCTCCTCAGCTGGCGAGCTGGCGATTCAGCCCCCGGGCCGTGCTTGGCGTCTATCATTATACGGTTGCAGTTATCGGGGTGTGCGCCACGCCCAGCACAGCCAAGGCAGCCCCAACTGGCCGCAGGGTGAAATCGAGCCCCAGCTCCAGCTCCAGCTTAGCTTCTGCTCAAGTTTCAGCTTCAGCTTCAGCTTCAGCTTCAGCTGTCAGCCAGCAGCAAGCAGTCCCATTCACCATTCAAACTTATTCACTTGTGCGCAAATATGCCACTCAGTCGGACACTCGGTGTGAAAAAGGTGCAAATGAGTGGGCAGCCCTCGGGTGCTGCCACTGTGTGCGTTAGCCAAATTTGTCTAAGTTTTTTCTGGGATTGACCATAGCCACAGTCACGCCCCCTGCTCCTCTCACTCTCTCTCTCTATCTCTTTCTCTCTTCCTCTCTCCCTCTTTTGTGCATTTGTGAATTTGTGCATTTGTAAATTATATGTGTTGCGTGCACAGTGCACGTCAAATGTTTGCGCCCATACAAGCATTGCTCATTTGCTCACTCACCCACACGCACACACGCACACATGTGCAAGCTTAATGAGCGTCGTCGGTCGTCCGACTTCCTCCTCTACTTGAGGCACCTGCGAGGTGCTAATTTGCGCCTCAAAGGATTTTAACGCTCAACAGTCAAGAGTGAGAGCGTGAGTGAGAGAGAGAGAGAGAGAGAGCACATAATAACAAAGGTCAACAATAGCACTCGAGTTTCGTTTTTCACTCGAAGCTAATTTCGAGCAGGGAATGCCCGTAAACAGCTCCTGCAAAGGGCTCTGCTCAAATCTCCAAGTTTTCCTCTGTTCAAGTGCGAGAGAGAGAGGAAGTGCATATTCTCCCATTAAGAACTTTATTTACTTCTCTCATATTGATATGTTTATATAAAGACATGGACTATATTGTGATTCATTTGCTTTTGCTTTCAGGTCGCAGCGAGCCGCCGGTCGGCGTGGGCGATCCTTGTGCCGGTTGCAATAAGCCGATATTGGACAAATTTCTGCTGAATGTCCTGGAGCGAGCCTGGCACGCGTCCTGTGTGCGCTGCTGCGAGTGCCTGCAGCCCCTGACAGACAAATGCTTCAGCCGCGAGTCCAAGCTGTATTGCCGCAACGATTTCTTCAGGTGAGTGAGCTGGCGACGGCCATTTAAATCAAAGCTCGAACCAATCAATCAGCAAAGCAACCAGCCAGAGCAATCAGTCTGATGAATAAAAGTCAAGTGTTGAACGTTAGCTCGGCTCAGCAGCGCTTCGACCCTTTGCCTTTGGCTCAAGAGTCCTTTGTGCGCTTCCATTTGATTTCACTTTGCATAGAACATTTTCTAATTGAAAAAAAAAAAAAAATTAAATTAAAAAAAAAGAAAATAAATAAAAAACAAAAGAAGATGAGGAAGCAAAATGAAATGAGAAGCGAAATCAATTAACATGCAAAACACCTGCACAAATCAAATGAAATCAAATGCAGCTGCCAACTGCCAACTGCCAACTGCTAACAGCCAACTGCCAATTGCCAATTGCCAATTGCCAACTGGCAGCTGACAAAGGGCCTTGCACAATGGGCAATGGTTAGCTCCGGACACTCTCGACGCTCTGGACACTCCGGACACTGGCACAGCCAATCAACAACAATAATAGCCAAGACTCGTCGCCAGCTATCAGCAAACGCATTCACCATCCAGCTCCAGGGCATTTCATTTGCATCTTTTGTGACTTTGGCTGAAGCGCAAGAGTCGCTGGCAAACAGAAGCGAAGCTATTGAGCTTTAGAGCTAATAAATGTAGTGACTGAGCTTTAAGTTGAGGCCTGAGCGAGCATGGAAAAGGGGCGTAAGGGCAATTTCTCTATATATATAGGTCTGAGGGCTTGGCCTGTGCAGCGGGTAATCAATCAGTACAGTACAGTGTCAGCGATCAATCAGTCAACCATTCAGTTGCTTAGTCACTCAATTAGTCAATCAATCAATCAGTCAGTCAAGATATCAAACAGTGCTCTGCCAGTCAGAAGTCAGTTTAATCAGTTCAATCAATCAATCAATCGATAAGTCAATAGTTAAAATTCTGTGATTCAGTCAGCTTAATTAATCAATCAGTGATCAAAATCTATGGTTTAATTAGTTCAATCAATCAGTCAGTTTTTCAATAATTCAATTTTACAATTCAATCAGCTCAATCGCTCAATCAATCAGTAAATCAGTAATTCAAATCTATGATTCAGTTAGTTCAATCTATCAATCAGTAAGTAAATAATTCAATTCTACAACTCAATCTTTTCAATCCATCAATCAGTCAGCCATTAATACAAATCTGCGATTATTAGCCAATCAGTCAGTCATTCCATCAGTCAATCAGTTATTCAATTAGATATCATTATAAGCAATCTGTCAATCAGCCAGATTGCTAGTGATTCAGTCAGTAACAATCAATCAATCAATCAATCAATCAGTCCGTTAGCGAATCAGATAGTCCACTATTGAAGTCAATCAGATAATCCATTATTCAAGTCAATCAGTCAATAGCTCTTTCGATTAATCAGCAGTCAATCATTCAGTGATACGATCAACAGCTAGAGAGTCCATCATATCATAATTGAATAGATCAGTAACTCTAACAATCAAGCTGCATTGGAGTTGATGAATCAGTTAGTTAGAGTGTTTATAAGGCAATCAATCCATCAGTCAATCATTCAATAGCACTACTTAACACTCACTTGGTCAATCACACAATATGTCAGCTACTTCTTCAAAAGGCTTTTGCCTTAATCCAGAGTGTTCGACTTATCCAACTCCCAAGAACTTTCGCCTAGCTATAGATATCTGTGGCAACAGCTTAATCGTTCCCAGAAGTTCTGCTCAATATGTCAACAGTATTAAACATTCAACTAAACGCTCTAATCTCTTATCTTTCCCGCTTCTCCACTTCTCCGTTTCTCCGTTTCTCCGCCTAGACGTTACGGCACCAAGTGCAGCGGCTGCGGTCAAGGGATTGCGCCCTCGGACCTGGTGCGTAAGCCGAGGGATAAGGTGTTCCACTTGAACTGCTTCACATGCTGCATTTGCCGCAAGCAGCTGAGCACCGGCGAGCAGCTCTACGTGCTGGATGACAATAAGTTTATCTGCAAGGACGACTATCTGCTGGGCAAGGCGCCATCCTGCGGCCACAACTCGCTGAGCGGTAAGTGCGGCCCGGCCGAAAATCGTAAATCTCTTCCGCTCCATTCGCTGGGGGCTCATCTATGCTAATTGCGCCTGCCGGGCTGGCGAGCGGGACGAGGGGAGATGGGGCGCTCCATGTGCTCCATGGGCCGGCATCAAGTTTTGCCTATTGTTTTCTTTTTTTAAAGGGGCGTTCGCCACGCCTCTCTAATGATATCAGCTATAAATACAAAATTGCGCATACGACGCGTGGAACAAAACACATTGCCAAGCGAGGGGCGAGGGGCGAGGGGCGAGGGGCGAGAGGATAGCTGTTGACGCTTTGGGTACATTTAGGCGCAATTTGCAATAGTTGTTATTGTTGTTGCTGCCCTGGGCAAATATTTTAATTTTTAGCCAACGTCGCGTGGCGCTGCATTTGTTTGCACTAATTGTTTATAGTTTGATATAGAAATATTTGCCATTCAAATTATCGTGGGAATAACTTTAAGCTTGTTATTCTAATTCTTGATATTAGTGGCCGGCGTTGTTGTTGCTGCTGTTAATTCGCTCTGTTGGCATTGAATTAATTTGTATTTTTTGTTGCTGCTGTTTTTTTTTGTTGTTGTTTTTTTTTTTCAGTCACTCGGCAAACGTTTTAGCGTTTGCAGCTAAATGCTTGGCAAATATTTGCACAATACGCAAAGCGCATGCATAGAAATGCCAAGCAAACACACAAACAATCACACACACGCACACACACACACACACACACAGACACAGACAGTTGACTTCAAATTGACTCAAGTTCAACAAAATTCGTAAAGCGTCTTAAATTGCAATAATAAATTGTGTTTTATTGAAAGCATTTTGTTTGCATATGTGAATAGATTTTTCCTAAGCTCAAGCTGGCTAATGTGGCTCATATTATATATAAATAAACTATATATATATATCGATAGAAAATCCAATAGCTTTTCCGATTTACAGCAGCAAATTTCTCGTCTGCTAAGCAAACTCTTTACCTTTGCAATATATTTATTTGGCTTTACTTTGACTCGGCTGAGAACATTTTCAGCTTTGACCTTTGCGAGCGAAAACATTGGCTGTTTATCTTAGCGAAGGCTGACATAGTCCACAATAGTGAAAGAAAAACTACGATGCATCAACTTGCAGCTGGAAAATCTATTTTGATATCGTTGCAGGCCAACAAATTAATTCGCAATTCACTTGAGTCTGCAGCCGCTTTAATTGCCTGGCAATCGTTTTCACTTTTGCAGTTCGCTTTAAAGCCCAAAAAAGCAAAGTTGGCTAAGGCAGACGACGGCTCGCACGGCCCTGGCTGAGGCAGTCGGCTCGCTGCAGAGCCGTCTGTAGCTTAAAGGTTCTGCTTTAATGTTGTTGCTGCCGAGCGACATAATTATGGGGGCCAATTAAAGCTTTAAATGCTGAGCACACACACACGCACAGAGTGAGAGTGAGAGAAAGAGAGATGCAGTGTGTGGGAGGGAGAGAGAGCGAGCGAGTCGGTGACTGCTGTCACACGCAGCAACGCCTCGCATTCCCTTTTTGGCTGCCGCAGAATATTTTCATTTTCATCATCTTTGTTTTTCGTGTTGCTGCAATAATTTTAAATTTTACAGCAATTGCTGCTGCTGCTGCTGCTACTCCTGCTGCTCCTGTTGCTGTTGTTGTTGCTGTTGTTGTTGCTGGCAGTGGCTTTAGGGATATATTTTCGTAGCATACTTAGCGGCGTTAAATATTTCAACGCTGCCATTTTTGTTGGCGCTGCTCGCTGCGCGCTGCATGGGGAAAGCAGCGACGGCAACAGCGACGCCAGCGCCGGCCACAAAAGAGAGCAAGAGGATGAGAGAGAGAGAGAGAGACAGCCAGAAAGAGTGAGAGTGAGAGCAAGAGCGAGAGCGCGAGCTAGCTCTGTCAGCTTTCTCCTGGCAGCTGCGCACTCGCACGCATCGCAGGGGCGCTGCAGCCTGGCGTCTGCGCAGCGACGTCGCTGCCGACGCTGGCAGCGCTGGCTGAAATATTTGCCTTGCGCTCAGCCACAAAATGGCTGCGCTTTGCCTGTATTTTTATATTCGTTTTCGGTTGTTTTTTTTCCTTCTGTCTTCTGACTGAGAACTGCTGCCCCAATAAGTAGGCATGCTTTATGGTGCACACACACACACACACGCACACACATACGCACGCACACTTGCCAAGCAATTAAACAACATTAAGCAGCTGTGAGCGAGAATATTTTGGCTTGATTTTATTTCGAACATTTTTTGCGTTACGTTGGCCAAATTGTTGACAGCGTCAACGTCGCTGCAGCACACTTGCCTCTGTGTGTGTGCGTGTGTGTGTGTGTGTGCTCACGTGTGCGAGGGCTCTAGCGTCAGCGCTGACGTCAACGCTCACGACGACGCCAGCGCCGACGCCGGCGTCGACGTCCTGGCACCGAGCGTAGGTCATTAATGTTTTGATTTTAATTGCGTTAATTACGTGCAACGGATTTTTCACTTAGTGCTACGGAAAAGCGGCGCTAAATGCAACGCGAAAAACGCCGTCGGAAAGTGCGTAGACATAACGTAAATATACACGAAAAGAAACTAAGCCAATTGCGTATACGCCGCATTGCACCGCCGGCCAAATGGAACAACTATAGCGAATAATAATGCAAACGAGAACAACAAGAAATATTGATGGAATGCTAAATTGAAGCGTGAATTTATGGCTTGTCATATAAATTAGACTGTTTGCCGAGCGATAAACAGAGAAGGAAACTAAAGAAAGTGTGAAAAATTGAGTGCGAGTGAGAGAGGCAGAGAGAGTGAGCGGGAAAGAGGGAGAGAGCGAGAGAGAAATTCAAGTGCTGGGGAGCAAGTGATAAGCCGTAGAGATAAGAAATCAAACAGAAGTTAAATTCATGAATGATTTTTAATAGAGCTAAAAGTTAAAAAAAAGAGAGAGAGAGAGAGAGAGAGAGTGAGAGAGACAGAGTGAGTGAGAGAGAGACATAATGAGTTTGATAGAGCGAAAAAGACCTAAGGAGCGGGAGATAGAGCTACAGGCAGAGAGAAAAACAGAAAGAATGAGAAAGTGTGAGAGAGACAGAGAGACAGATAGAAAGAAAGAAAGAGAGAAAGAAGAAATATGATAAGGAATAAGAGGCCGAAAGAGGGGCAAAAAGCGACCGAGAGAGAGAGAGAGAGAGAGAGAGAGACTGAATTGAAAAGAAAGAGAGAGAGAGAGAGAGAGAGAGAGAGAGCTAGAGAGCAAACACAAATTGAAGAAAGAACGTTTAGTTTGCAAACGATTAGTATAAATAAAGCAAACACTCCAAGAGCCTTTCCATCTCGTATGTGCAGTTTTTCCAAGTCTCGGCTAACAAGCCCCGGCTCTAGCTGAATGCCTATGCATAATCACAAGAGTTCGCTTTGCCTCATGTCAGCCACGCAGCGAGTGTCAAGCTTAGCAGTCAGCAGCTTTTAGCCTAGAAATCTCGCCAATTGTCAGCCCAATATTTTCTCAACTTATTTTAATTATTATATATTTGGTTTATTTATTAAATAACTGCAAATACTTTTGCACATGCCGATGCATGTGGGCCACATGTCTGGCGCAGCTGGCCAACAAAAACAATAATATTTTCAGTCAGCAGTTTAACTGGCTGTTGTTGCCGTTGTTGCCGTTGCTGTTGGCTCTTTAAGGCCAAATCCTGGCCACATTAAAGAGTGCACAACGGCAATGGCAAAGTTCAGGCCGACCCTTTTGGCCAGCTTACAGTTTACAGCTTTCAGCTTCCAGCTTACCAACTTGGCCCAGAGGCTGTCGTAGCTGCCACTGACCATTGTTGTTGTTGTTGTTGTTGTGGTTGTTGTTGTTGTTGTGGCTGTTGCCTCATGGCCACATGAAAAATACCGCAGATTTACGGTTGTCGTTTGGCGGTGCACATAATATATAGTATGTGGCTTATGTGTGGTTCTGTGGCACTCACTCTCCCACTCTCTCGCTCTCTTTCTCTCTCTCTCTCTCTCTCTCTCTCTCTTGTGTTCTGGTTGTTGTTGCTGCCGGCTGCTGCTGCTGCTGCTGGTGCTGTTGTTGACCGTTCGGGGGGGGACTATTTTTATTTGCAGTTTCAGTTTTTGCAACTGTGGCAGCAACTGTTTGTTGTTGTTGCCGCTGCTGCTCGTTTCGGTCAGTTTGTTGTATTTTATGTGGCGGTTTTTTTTCGCCTCTTTTTTTGGTCATTGCCTCAAAAAAAAAAAAAAAAACACTTTATGGCCACCTTGCGTGTGCCCACCCTCCGGCCAGTGGCCTACAGTCATGTGTTGGCTACACACACACACACACACACACACACACACGTAAGCGAAGAAAAATAAGAAAAACCGTTAAAGTTTATTTGACATTTACTTGGGCTATTTTTTATTTTTATGACTCTTTGGGTTATTTTATACACACACACATACAGTTATATATTTATATATATGTGTGAGAGTCAAGAGCATCGCATGACCAAAAGCCGAAAGTCCAACTAAACCCATCTCAGCAGCCGCTGCGGCAGCTGTAACCTCTTTTCTCGCATATTTTCACATATTTTTCTGTTGGCTTTTTTTTTCTGCTTTTTTTCATTACGTTTCGGCATTTTTTGTTTTTGTTTTTTTGCCTTTTGGACAATAAATTTGCGGCTATTTTTCGCCCAAAATAAATAAAAATAAAATAAAATTTGATGCTGGCGAACGATGCTGTTGCGGCGATAAGTCCACAGTCCACAGTCCCCCAGTCCCCCCAGCCCCGCCGGCTGCCCACTGACCTGGCCTGCCCCGCTGTCATATCTAATGCCAGACGCATTCGTAAATCATTTGCTTAAACACGCGTTGCCAACTATTTTACATAAAAGGCGCTTTGATTTGTGAGCAACGCCAACCGGAAGTACTATATAGCCATTTTTTTGTTGCCTTCTTCTTCTTCGCTTTGTGTGAGTCGTAAATCAAGTGAATACTCGCAGGCAATGCGAATGAATCAAATGAATAATAG